AAAGATCAGCGTGGAAGACGCCGCCTGCATCCCCCTTCTTAAGACCCAGGAGGCAACCCATGACTCCAAGGAGAATAAACTGAAAGCTGGAAAACAATCCATTGCCGGCAAACTATCGCTGTTATTGACTGTCACATTAGTTTTGAAGGACTTCTACCACATAACCCGCATTCTCCTTACTACTCGGGAGTGGTAAATATATAACGGTGTAATTCTGTATGTTTTCATGTAGACAATTCTGTAACGATATTATCGCATTCTAAATCACTCATGCTCTCTATGCAACCATGTGAGGGAATAACTATGCATTGGGCTGATGGACGTATACTTCCGAGTAAGAGGATGGGTGTTGGCCTCGTGGGACCACTAGCCTATGGCATAGAGGCTGGAAAATATACACTACTGGACACCTGGAACTCTAATAGCCAGTTACATCTACTAATAGAAATTAGCCAAATGTCCATAGGAAAGCATTGAGAAATACTTTCCTATGGATTGTTTGAATGCACACGCGGCTCTTGCCGCGCATGTGCATTCCACTCCACTCGGGAGCTGACGTCGGCGGGGGATGAGAAGTTGGCGCTGGATTAAGGTAAGTGGCTGAAGGGGTTTTAACCCCTTCAGCACCAAGGGAAGGGGACCCCGAGGGTGGGGTGGTCCTAAGGTTGCTATAGTGACAGGAAATGAGTTTTGGGTAACCTACCCAAACTGCTAAATACGAGGTGAAATGCAAATGCTGCCACGAAATGATGAGCACCTTGTGACTGGAAAATGCTGGACAGAGAGTGTCACCTAAATAAGCTAAACATGTCCATAAACAACTGAGGATTATAGCATAATTACTAACTAAAATGTAACCAACATAGAAGTGACAACTTTGATGAGCCACCAAAAGGTAGGAAAAATGTATGCAGATTAATAGTACTTGAACGAACCTGTGGATAAAATATGAACAACATCACCTGGAAAAGATCAGCGTGGAAGACGCCGCCTGCATCCCCCTTCTTAAGACCCAGGAGGCAACCGATGACTCCAAGGAGAATAAACTGAAAGCTGGAAAACAATCCGTTGCCGGCAAACTATCGCTGTTATTGACTGTCACATTAGTTTTGAAGGACTTCTACCACATAACCCGCATTCTCCTTACTACTCGGGAGTGGTAAATATATAACGGTGTAATTCTGTATGTTTTCATGTAGACAATTCTGTAACGATACTATCACATTCTAAATCACTGATGCATATAATCAATCCCACCCCAGTACACTGACCTCGACCTATACACTCCTGGGATACAAGACAGCCCAATTAATAACCAACCCTTATCACATAAGTGCAACTTTTTCCGTCACTAGGGGAGTTATACACTCACACACATTAAAGCTACCACGATCCGCAGCAAAGTTCTTGCAGAACATAACCCTCGTCCTCTGCAGAATTGCTCGGATTTAAACAGTTCTGAGGCAATTGTTATAAGCGGGATCACACTCCTACCACAGATTTAGTAGGTCCAGTAGAGGTCCTGAACAGTACTAAATTACCATCTCAATTTCAGCCTATCCCATATCTACCCCCTGAGCCAGTACACAGAACTGGGTAAATTCAGGGCTAAGTACCGACTCCATAGAGGACTGGGAACACAAGCAAAACAAACACACAATTCCCTAACAGCAAGCTCTGGGCCTCTAATACCCACGAGAGTACAGAGCTCCCGCTGGAACAACTCCTCGGGGGGCACTAGACTCGATACTTACGTTTACTTTCATTGTAAATAGTTATTATTGTTTTTTTTTGGTTATTGGTTGTTTAACATTAGGCAACTGCCCACCTAAACTAACAGACCGCAAGTTTCCTGCAGCAAGGGCATCACATCTGCTCTCGCAGAGAGCCAATACATCTCAGTCAACTCGGTAAAAGCTACATGAATTAAAATTTAACCGTCATCCAAAAAATCTTAAAGACAGACTAGCACAGGAAGATGGGTACCCTTCGTATTATTTCCCAAAATGTCAGAGGACTTAACATCCCTGAAAGGAGAAGGATGGTACTTACAGAACTGGCCAATAAGAAGATAGATTTAGCATTCCTAGAAGAAACACATTTGAGAGGACCAGATGCTCCGAAATTCAAACATCCCAAATTCCCACATGTATACTACAATAACTATAACAAAAGCAAGGCAAGAGGGGTAGCGATTCTGATAGGGAACAAAGTCCCCTTCACTTACTCAAGCCACATTACAGATGATTCAGGGAGATTCATTATCCTACAAGGGTCAGTAGGAACAGAATCAATTACACTGGTTGCAATCTACCTTCCAAATAAGCACCAAAGCGGAACCTTTAGGAAAATAATGGCAAAGGTCAAACAAAACACCAACGGCATACTGGTCATTGGGGGTGATTTTAACATTTCCTTCGACGCCAATAAAGACAGTACATCTCATAACAGCAAACACCTAACCACTATGAGACTTCAAATGCAACACATCCTCCACTCAAACCAATTAATAGATTGCTGGAGGGTACTACACCCGACAACAAGAGACTATACACACTTTTCTGCACCAAATAAAACATATTCCAGGATAGACTTCTTCTTGACCTCACACAGAGACCTCAGCCTAATAAGAGACACGTCCATGGGCCCTACAACATGGTCAGATCACTCACCAATCTATCTCACTTTAAGCATACCTTCGCTCCCACGTCTCAAGGGATTATGGAAACTCAATCCATCTCTCCTACAAACACAAAAGGTCCAAGAATCAATAAGAAACACAATTAAACTATACTTTAAAGAAAATAAAACAACAAACACCACAGCCTATACACAATGGGAAGCCCATAAAGCAGTGCTAAGGGGGGAACTAATAAAATGGGGAGCACAAATCAAAAGAGAAAAAAATAGACGGATCAATGAACTCCTAGATAAAATTGTACAGGTAGAAAAAACCCACAAACACGATATATCCGACTCAGTATACTGCACTTTACTTGCCCTTAGGACGGAATTACACTCACTACTACAAGATAAAGCAAAAAAGGCCGTCCTATGGACATAACAACTATACTACTCACAAGGGAAGAGAAGCGGTAAATTACTTGCCCAGGCCCTAAAAGAGAAACAAACCCTAACATATATCCCCCAAATCAGACGTCCAGACAAGTCTATAGCGCAAACAACAGAAGACATAGCTGAAACTTTCCGACAATATTACACCTCATTATACAACCTAGAGGGACAAGGGACGAGCACTGGGGATATAAAAAAGTATCTAGAAGACAAGTTTGACACAGCACTTCCACCAGCGGCAATGAGATCTCTAGAGGAGCCATTCACCATTGACGAAATTAGTTTAGCATTAAAACAGACTCCACATAATAAAAGCCCAGGCCCCGACAGGTTCTCAGCTACATACTATAATACTTTCCAAACAGAACTCAACACACACCTACTGCAGGTGATGAACTCTATCCCCTCACACAACCACATACCAATCCAAGCACTAGAAGCGACAATAACACTTTTGCCCAAACCAGGGAAAGACCTAGAAAACTGTGCCAGTTATAGGCCAATATCCTTGATCAACGTCGACGTTAAGATCTTTACCAAGATGCTGGCGTCCAGGCTTAAACCTTTTCTTACAAGGTCTGGTCCACCCTGATCAGGCAGACTTTGTCCCAACCAGGGAAGCGAAAGACAACACTTCCAAAATAATAAATCTGATTAACCACATGTCCCAAATGTGTATTCCAACCTTACTCCTGGCAATAGACGCAGAACAGGCCTTTGACAGGGTGGACTGGACCTTTCTTTTAAACACATTAGAGGCATTGGGCTTTGGAGACAGATGGTTACAGTGGATCAAAGCAATATATTCCCACCCAATGGCACGACTGCAGGTCAATGGACAACTATCTAAGCCTTTCAAAATAAGTAACGGCACCCGCCAAGGATGCCCGTTATCACCTATTTTGTTTGTATTAACCCTAGAACCACTCTTGCAGGAAGTACGTAAACGAAGTAACATACAGGGAATCTGGGTCCAGAAACAGGAATATAAAGTCTCAGCCTTCGCAGACGACTTATTATTTACCCTAGAACACCCCCTAACCAGTCTCCCCCACCTGACAGAGGTCTTAAATAGCTACAGCAAGTTATCTAATTTTAAAATCAACATAGACAAATGTGAGATATTAAATATAAATGTGCCCACTCACCAAATATGAACACTGAAAGACACCTATCCTTTCCAATGGGCAAAACACTCCATTAAATACCTAGGGGTTCAAATTACTAACACACACAAGACGCTCTACAAAGCAAACTTTCCAGATCTGATAACAGCCATAAAGAAACATTTGGATAGATGGGATAGACCGCATTTTCGATGGATGGGACAGATAAATATTATCTCTATGAATGTGCTCCCACGCATTCTATACCTCCTAAATACAATCCCAATACATATTCCAAATCATTTTTTCCATACTATCCAGTCAATACTTACATCCTTCATCTGGGCAAAGAAGCGTCCACTTATAGCTTTTAATTTACTGACAAGGCCCAAGGAGAGGGGAGGACTGGGATGCTCAAACCTCCAAAACTACCATAGGGCAATACACCTGGGGAGAATACTGGAGTGGTCTAGAGGAGGAACCAAAAAAGCCTGGGTGGACATAGAGCAATCACAAACACGAACACCGCTACACGCACTCCCGTGGACTTTGTCCACCTCCGGAGGCAAGATACCGCAGGACTTACCGACAGTATCCCCCACACTCAAAACCTGGAAGACATTACATCTACGCACGGAGTTTACACCATCTCCATCACCAAACTACCCGATATCCCACAACCCCTTACTCCCTATAGGCAATAGTGTCATACTGCAAGAATTGGTAATACCCAGTCAGTAGACAAAGTTATAACATTAAGGGACATAATCACTGATAAAGGACTTATACCTCTGAAAAACAGGTTCCACCAATGCAACAATGACACAAATTTTCCAATACCACCAACTTAAACATTTTTTAAATAAAGAAGGGCTACTCCACTGGAAACCCAGGGAAGAAACACAGTTTGAGAAACTATGCTCTCGCCCGCCAACAAATAAAATCATAGTCAAATGTTACCGCATGATTCAAGAAAGCGTAAACAACCAACTTCCCTGGTTTACGATAAGGAACCAGACATGGTTTTCAACACAGATAGAGGAGCAGACCTGGCTCACAATCTTCACCAAAATGATGAAATCACGCTCTAGCATTATGTTGCAGGAAATTAATTATAAATTTCTCACACAATGGTATCGTGTCCCCATAAACGCCCATAAATTTAACTCCACCAACTCTCCACTGTGTTGGAGGTGCGAGATGGAACAGGGTACCTACCAGCACATATGGTGGAACTGCCAGCGAATAGAGGGCTTCTGGAGGGAAGTAGCGAGGATCGCAGAACGACTCAGTAATGTCCCCTTACCATTTACCCCTGAAAAGCTCCTGTTTTTTAACATACCCTTTTCTTTGAACAAATTTAAACACTCACTCCTATATTATGCATTAACAGCAGCAAAATCAGTAATAGCGGGACTTTGGAGGACACACAAAAGACCGTCTAGAAGGGAGTGGTTCATGAAAATAGACAACTTTCATCAGATGGAAGAACTGAGAATGTCCACAATGGGTAAATTAAAACAATACTTAGACACATGGGAACCATGGGTGTCGTTCCTAAAAACGTATCCAGGTCCATGAGGGCATGAAGGCAAACAATCTTAATAGGGATGAGAAAAGGAAGGGAAAATGAGTAAAACACATTGAAATGGCCACCACCAACAGAGAACAAGGCGAAATACAAAGGGAATTCAACAAGAGACTAGAGGGAATCATAGAAGGGAGTCAATAAGAGCTAGCCACACTAACAGATTTCAAGCAGTAAACGAAATTAGAGTAGGACAAGGGACCAGTAAAATGTAGGAAACTTTCAACAACACATCAATATTTCCCATATTGTTATGTATAATCTGTATAAATTAAGCCATGTTATGTAAAATGACTATACTACATGGACTGTAATTTGCTTTTACAAGTTGGATAAGTTCCATTATTTCTGTATTTCATGTAACCGATGTATAGCGGATAAAGTTATCCGCAAAACCTAATAAAAATAAAATAAATAAAAAAAAATAAAAAATATGAACAACATATAGATGTTTAACAAAATCAGGCTTCAACACATGAATATATCTAATATAACCTAAAACCTCCCCTAGGATAATACTAAAACCTACTGCGATTAAACCAAACTGTAGGGGTATCCACTACCTGAACAATTAGACAAACATATAAACAATTCACATCAATTTGTATACTTATGTGAACCTTGAGACGTAAAGTAATCGGGAGTAATCGCACAAACACCCTATGGCACAACCAGATGTTCGTGTGTTTCCGATACGTTTTTAAGAAATGAAACTTGTTCGCGCGAAATTACACTAACACTAACACTTATGAAAAGCATGTATCGTCACTATATACGAAAGGAGCCGAATGAGGGTCACTGTTCGTGTGGGTAAAAGACCCGAAAGCCCCCTAACGTTAGTTATTGAAAGCAAGCGTATGTGCGAGTAGGCACGAAAACAACCGAACATGCGAACGAACATACGAACCAGTAAGTAATTAAATAAACCCAAACTGGGATGACACCATATAATGCGACTGCAGGGTGACGGCTTGGGCTTAACTTATGGTTCAGTGAACATTCTGAGGGAGCTGGAGGAGGAAGCGGGCTGGAGGCATTCAGAAAGCGAAACAGGTGGGTTTTTTGGATTAGAAATTAAGATATGTAAATTTAAAGCATGACTAGCTGAACTAAAAACATAGCTGACTTAGAAAATTTTTCCAGTTTGCCTATTTTGATTTTAAATTAGAATTTTACTATAAATTCTCACTTCAATTAAGGTTCTGTTCTAGAACCTGAACTAGCAGAAGGGGGTAAAAGCCAAATGAAAGACTGAATCCAAAAAAAATCCATAGTAGAACAATCCCTAAACTCAAGATCTTTGGTTAAACAAATGGAATTAACTGAAAAGTTGGAGAACAATACCAAAAAGTGCAAGACCAGGACCAGCAAAACAAAATAAAGTCTTAGTAGATCTTCAAGATAGGATCAGCAAACAAAAGTTAAAAGTCTTTGGCTGGTTAAACAAATAGCCAAAGACTTACGCAACATTTACATTTACAAGTCCAACACTGATCCAAGCAGGTAGGGGTTAGCCTAGGCAGGTACAGTCAGGCAAGGGTTAAAAAGGAAGGTTCCAGTAGGTTGGGGTTAACTAAGGCAAGTCCAGGCAAGCAATGGTTCACAAAGACAGAGGAAGCTTGTGTTCCCAAGCGAGTTCACGAAACAACTGAGCACAGAACCCAGGATGGTCTGTGCTTAAGTAGGGGACGAGAAGTGTGAACCTTCACAAAAGGAGGGGTCTCTGGGCCTATATAATCAGGCAGCCCTCCAGTATAGGTAGGCGTTAAACCCTTCATGTGGTTGGGAAGCTATGTCCGTTTGGCCACTTCAACTAGTTGTTTCCAACACTGCCCCTGAATATGTTACCAGGGATCCAATGGGATTCTGACACCCTAGGGGGACCATGGCACAGTGTGTAACAATGGGCACCTGTCAGAGGGGAGGTGGCCTGCAGGGCAGACAAGGCTAATCTCCCTTCCTCTGCATGCCGCAATGTATGTGAAGCGGCTGCAGGGGAAAGTGGGCCAGAAGGTGTGGCATGCGTGCCGCCAAAGAATGGAGGAACCAGCCAGCAGCCGTGAGGGGAGTCAGGTGCATCTCTCATTACCCCAGGATCCACCCAGCGTGACGTGACAGAATTCAAAGTGAATTTCAAATTTGAGTCCATAGTATTTGAATTGCAAAAGATTCTATAAGTTAGCTGTGCTATGCTTTGAATTCACATTGAATACCCAACAATTATCACTTTAGTAAGTAAATCTGAAAATATTTACTAGTAACTCACAGTAGCGATGTTTGTCTTTTCTTATGTACAAGTAAAGGTGATGTCCTTACTTATGAACATTAAGTAAATTAGTGTAGTGATTTCACCCTATTAAGTTTTAGCCTGAAAAAATACAAATTTATAAAAATGATTTGTGATTTATTCATTAAACACAAAATTGACGTGAATAAAGCTATTTATTTTATTTTTCTATTTATTTATTCAATTAAAAGAAGACTGCCACTAACAAAATAACTTGACGGGACACTCAACTGCAAAAACACAAAATAAATAAAAATCCACGTTAAATATATATACCTGAAATTAAAACTTGCATGCATTTATTTTTTTTTCATTAAAGTTATATCTAAAAACAGCTTGCAAGCTCTCCACTTCTAACCCCACTCATGGCAACCTAAGCTGCTTACTTGCCCCCCCCCCCCCCCAAAAAAAAAAAAATACTCCAAAAAATATTGCCAAAATTAAAAAAAAGAGCAAACTAAAGTGCTTTAGGGGGTCAGCATTTTCACTTTAGGTTTATTTACGTTTTTGTATGTAGACTGGTGATCACTGGCCCATTATTGAGAACAATAGTATGTATAATACCTGGTTAAACCTTCCTTATACTGCAGAGGCAGATATGCAGTAACCTGGGGCAAAGTTGTGTAGCTGTAGCCCCAACTTCTAACTAAAACTATTGCAAAATGAATTAATCTCTTAATGTAACATAGCGTACAGACACTACTGACCATAAAACAACTTCAATTAGTTGAAGTTGTTACGGGGTTGGGAGTGCTCTTTTAAAATATATACAACTCACTGTTTAGTGGATAAATCATTTTGCATGAAATGTTTTGTTAGAAAGGGTAAACCTCTTACTAGCACATTACTCGACTTTTCTCATTTCACACGTAAGAGATCTTTTGGAATATATATGGTTGTTAACAACAAGATTCAGTTTAGAAAGAGAATCAGTAACACATCATTAACAGACAAGTGGCCTACTCAAGAAAACATCAATTATCTTGTAAGCTTAAGATTTTTCAAACCCATGTTGAGTTATGACTAAGGCAAATACTTATATACTGGTACTAAAAACAGAAAAAAATGGTTACATTTCTACCAAGCCATTAAATAACATATTTGAACAATTGTGGATTCCCAAAATGCTATTATATTCTTTACAAATGCCTGCTTCCTCTTAAACATAATGTTTACAATGGTGGTTCATTCAAAGGGGCATTTAAGATATTTCCCATCAGATAAAATAAAAAATAAACTATGTATTAATCATACACCTTGAACAAAACTATGTTGGAAAACATGAATGGATGAATGAGCTGTTACATCTTCCAGATAGTTTTTAAAAATGTACATGTTACATCTTCCAGATGTTTTTAGAAATCTGTACAGCTGTTAAAGCTGATAAAGCAACCTCTTTAGGCAGATAATTTCACGTATTTCACTGGAGGTGAAATCTTCTTTCTTTAAGATTTCTCTTTAAAGTGGCACTGTCATGCCGACCTTACCTTTCTTTAATCGATTCATCTTCTCTCCCTCTGTCAGGATCTGTTCTTCATTTCTTTCTGTCTGCTCTCGTTTTCTTTAAAACATAAGACAAAGTAGGGACTACTTTGTCTTATGGAGGTTTCCTATGCCTGACCAGCTATGACCAGCGGAGGAGCAAAGTGTGCTTCGTTTCTGGTGATCAAAGCAATTTTCCCACAATTCTGACTTTTGATCCGTGATCTCACAATGCTTCCTTGCAGTATTTCCAAACGTCTTGTCACTCAGACAGAATGCCAGTGAAACTACAGAATTTCGTACTAACAGAATGAGAACAGTTTCTTCATTCGTGTTAGGACGCAATTCAGGACTTTATGTGGATTTGAATTTCATTTGAATGAATGAAACTCCAAACCTATTCATACCGCAGCTATTCGTGCCCGCCTCTCAGGTGAGGGGTTCAGGGGGTGGAAGACAATAGGTTCCCCTCCCTTATTGTTATTTAGGGCCCCCACCTGCTGCTCAGGGGTGGGGGCCATAGGGGAAGGTAATAGGTTCCCACCCCCATTTTTATTTAGGTCCCCCACCTGCCGCTAATGGGTGGGCGCCGGGGAGGAGGACAATGGACAATAGGTTCCCCCCCATTTTCATTTAGGACCCCCCACCCGACGCTCAGGGGTGGGGGCTGGGGGACAATAGGTCTCCTGTTCAGTTAAAATTCTGATAGTCCAATAAAAAAAGGAATTACAAGATACAAATTTTATCTGTTTTTTTCCATCTACATCACTGGATTAATACGGCTACAATGTCTACTTAAATATATATATATATATATATATGTATATATATTGTGATGAAGTGCCCTTCGCCACTTGATCCTGGAGAGGCTTGCTTGCTAGCCTCCTCCCCTACGACTATGGCCCCTGGGAGATTGTACCCTTTTAAATCAGCATTTGGGCTTATGGACTTTTATTAGACTGTGTATGGCCCTTTAAGAACCATCTGTGGGCACATTGTGACTTTGGTGAACAATACCCCTTTAAGACTATGGCCCCTGGAAGATATTGGCTGTTAAAGACTATTTTAGCAGATTGGATTTTAAAAGACTCTTGCTGCCCCTTTAAATTTTATTGGAGCAGTTCTGCAGCTTTAAATTGGCACTTCGGATGCAGCCAAAGTGCCGAAGTAGTCGAAGTGGTCACCATTCAACAAACGAACACCTGGCGGCAGCTATCTTTGTTC